ATGCTGAAAATCTTTGCGATAACTCAGCCATTTCGTGACGGAGCCTTCTCATCTTCGAACTCGACTGAGATATTAATGAGATCATTATGTGTACAAAATTTCATGACAATCGGATGAGGCTTTCAAGAGTTATCGTGTTAACGGCTGGACACACTGATCTGATCGAATCTAAGCTTTTAAAAATCATCTAAGACAACGATCTTAATTTTAATGGATAGAGATAGTATGCACATCATAGAATCATATCGAAAGAGATTTTGATTCTTTCTTGTCTGCTTAAAATTTTCTAAAAATGTTCGTCCCATCCCGTTCCATGGGACATCCCACGCAGAGCTCTGATCCATATAGCGAATAATTGCCCAACTAAAAATGATGCTTGGTCAATTATCCAAATTCTTTAGAATGTTACTAATTTGATTACCAGAAAGAAAATCGTTTTTTTTTTGTTTATAAATTATATTTGTGTAAATATGAAAAATTTTATAATAAATCATCAATCTTGTAATGAGACAGGGTATAGATTGCCGATGTTAAATAGCTGTAGATCAATCTCGGTTACGTCTAACCTTTAATAAATTACCCATTGCATTAAAAAGCAATATCAATTTATGACACTAGATAGCGACAAGGTCCGTTATAAGTAATACGCTTGTTTCTTTTCGCCTAAGGATCCATACTAATACATGTATAGATATATTACTGACTATGAAGAATCCGTGTTTTTCAATTATTTGGTTCAGTGCATCGAATTCTTCTCTAGACAGGAACAACAACAAGAAGTATTTGATACTTATAAAAGATATGTACACGAACATCGACAAACTTCTGCAATCATAGATATACCAGAATACATATAATACATAAGGTCACATTCTTTTAATCGAAATATATCTAGTTAACATATTAATATTTACACAGCTTATATAACACTTGCAATCACTTGAGCTAGACAAAAGAAAAAGAGTTTTCTTTATTATTGGATAAAAATAAGAGAAACCCAATAAGTTTCGATCGATTGATAACAGACAATTTGAACGTCAATCAATTATTACACATACGCAGACACAGTCGATAGTGCATATCTTTATTATAAATTTGTTGTTGTTGTTGTTGTTGTTGTTGTTGTTGGTTTCTATTGTCATTACTCTTATGCTGACATTCCCTTCTTTTGGTGCCTGTTTTCTTGCTTGTTATTGTCTTTAAAATAATAGTAATAGTGCTAAAACAAATGAATATTGTTCGAAAAAAAAATGATATCATTCGTCTTATTCTGTCATATATCTAAAATCTGTTTTTTGACTATTTGATGAAAATCGACAGTTGCTCGACATAAGCATCAATTTTTTTTTCTTTTTTTTTTTATTCAGCACATAAGTTTCTTGTGTTTAATTGCAAGTAATAAATCTTATATGTTCGATCTAATAGTTGACTAAGAGGCAAAATGAGTACAACGTTGATTTATGTTTTTCTATTTTCTCAGAAAAAAAAACAATAGGAGAAAGAAAATCAAGAAGTTTGCAAACGACGAATGTCATAGTAGAAAAATCTTCGATGACAGTAGATGGAAGAAAATTGACTTCTCTGAGTAACATTTGACAGTACCAAAAAAAACACCAAACGAGAAGTAAGTGATATTAAGAGTAGAAAAACAAAATGAGCACACGTTGAAAAAAAACAGGAAATTAGTTTAAATAAATAATTGAAAGGAACGTATGCGCGTCGAAGTAGAATTTTCACTGTTAGACATTAACGTCTTAATTCAAAAGTATGCTTTTATTATAAATTTGAAAAATCTGTTTTCATGATGTATCCAACAGCACGTTTCGTTCATCGATATAATTGCTTCTGTATGACTATGACACTTATCGTACCAGGCACAGTATGTTATTGTTGGTATTTTAATACAAGAGTCGAATTCCCTCAAGAATAGCGAAAGATCAAATAATCTCTTTGATGAATGGGCATAAATGTATTGATCAACTATAGTTATTAGCTATTCGAGAAAAGAGTTTCTTTTTTTGTTGCTGTTGTATATATATATATATATATATCTACATCTGTACATCACTGTTTTTATAGTCAAAAAGAATCTATCGTAAGAAATCGTAGTATTTCATTTCATTATCTGGTTGTAATCATTGGATTCGCTTCGACTTATGATTGACATTGCGTGCATATGTGTAAATAATAAATACGGTCGCAAAAACCTATCTCATACGAAGAGCTTTTATTCAATTGATTTCTTGCTCGCTCTGTTGACATTATATAGTTGATAAGCCAGAAAACAACTATACGGGATAATAATACAATATTCTTTCTTATTCCTATTTGGGTTAGGTTCTTTGGTATTCGTTCTCGTTTCCATCGATTTTTCTCTGTTCGTCTTCTTCTTTCTTCCTTAGCTTGATCGACTATTTTAGGATAATAACTAATATATTGATGTATACAATCGTTTTCTAAATGAAACTGTAATATTACTTGCATATATACATATACATTCGATTGATCATTTGCCTGTTTTGCCAGATTTGCTTTTTAGACAAATAGATTTCTCTTCATCCATGGGTCAACGTATGATTCGTCATCAAGTGGAAGAAGGTTTAAGTTTATACGATGAAAAAAATTACGATGCTGCAATAAAAAAATGGACAATAGCATTACAAAAAATGAAAAATAATCGACTTCGATTTACAACACTCGGGCATTTAGCAACGGCGTCGCGTGATCGCGGACGAAATAAAGACTATCTGGTCTATGCTGTACAGCAGATTGATATAGCGCATGAACTCGACGAGAATAATCTTCGTGCACAAGCCTATTTAACTCTATCGCGTGCCAACGAAATGCTTGCTGATTATTTTAAAGCTGTTAGTTATTCTCGTTCGACACTTCAGTATTCGCCGCCAGGAGATTCAAAACAAGTCTACGCTTATCTTGTTATGGCTGATTCTTACATTGGATTATGTAATTTTTCTAAAGTAGTCGAATGTCTTGATAAAGCGTTGAATATGTCACATGAACATACGGATCCCATGATGGAAACTCAAATTCTTAGTACAATGGGCAAAGTATTTCTTGCATTGAAAGATTTTCCAAAAGCACTTCTATTTCAACGTCGTGCACTTGAAATGGTCTCATCAAATTCTGCACTGGCCACTGAACATCATCGAAATGAAAATTCGAAATTTGTTCGTATAACAAAATTAAAAATAGCGACACCGTTAAGATTAATGGGCGATTTTGTTAGTGCAACAAAATGCGTTGAAGTAAGATTTTCAGGGAAAACAACAACCTGTTCAGTTTGTTAAAAAAAACATTTTTCAATCATAGGAGTCAATGCAAGTAGCCTCAAGTCTTGGAGATCGACCCGTTCAAGCCAAGTGTCTTGTATGCATCGGCGATATACAACGTTCGCAAAACAATAATGAGGTAGGTAGGGAGTCATTCGCAAAAACAAATAGACGTAAATGTAGTGATGTTTGATCGATAACGAGTCATCTCCCGGAGTGCGTTTTTCACGCGCAGATTGCCATTTAATAAACATGTGCCGTGCTTATGATGTCACATGCCTATCTTTTTTTTTATATTTTTTCTCTGCTATCTTCTTGGATCAAGGTCGCATGTAAAAAATATGAAGCCGCCATTCAGATGCTTCAAGATATGAACGATCGATACAGTTATACATTGGCTATGATTGGTCTTGTCAAAGCGTTATTGGCACTTAATACACAACAGAATACGGTGAGTTTGTTGTTAGAAAGTCAAAATTTTTTTTCCTTTTTCCAAAAGTATTTCGCGCTTTTATTAAAGTATGAATATTAATAAAAAAAAATGTGTTTTTCAAATCAATATTATCATAAGATTTGTCGCTTGTCAACTACTAATTGTTAGTAATGCCATAACAATTACATATGATGAGAATGTCAAACTTTATCTTGTCTATCATATGTATGTTCTCGATGATATTTATTTCATCTGTTGCCTTTAACAGGAGAAAAAGGATAAGATCGCGTTTAATGACATATTTTGTTATACTATAAGCAAATGAGATAAATATTCCAACAGCAATAATAATTTAGAACAAAAAAATAGCTAAAAGGAATTTTCGATTTTTTTTCCTTTATAAGTTCAGCAAATCGGTATGACCTTTAACACAATTTATTTCTAATGAATAGTTCCATAGACAACGATAATTTAAAAATAAATAAATAAACTAATGCGATGAAAGATTAATGTCGCTATCTTTCGTCGAACTTTTTATATGAAGCGCTGTCAGTTGACACCCTCATGTTCCAAATTTCTTTTTGACAATATATACAAGCTGTAGGTCTAAACCGACAGCTGACCTGACCCAGTTATCTTATTTCACATCACTCAAGTTTCATGTAAATAATGACTAGCACACGCAGTAGCTCTATGCCCTTAAGCTTTATTCACCGTGCGCTATCAGATCGGATAATTCGAACGAAAAAAACAAACAAAATCAAACGGTGACTAATGATTACTCATGAGGAACATCTTATGACATTATGCTCTTGTCTTTCCTATTTAATATTCTATAATCTCTTGAAAAATTAGGCAAATGACATTCTTGCAACTGCATTGTCAACAGCAACATCGATGGGTAATAAATTGTTGCAAGCTCGATGCCATTTACTAAACGAGCGTATACTTAAATCGGAGAATCGATTAGACGACGCTCGAAATGCATTAGATACAGCTCAACGTCTTTATCAAGAAGCTGATCTTTTATGTTCCGTTTGCCAAAAGCCGATGGGTATGGAGCCTGATAAAATACAGATTTTAACATGTACACATATGTTCCACGAACGGTAAGATAAAAAACAGAAATCTTTTTCTTTCTAATTTTATTCGTGTTGCATAGATGCATTGCGGAACTGTTACAAAAGTGGACTCGTCAAGCGCAATCATGTCCGAAATGTAATCAAAAAGTTTTATTTAGTAGAAGTCATATTTCATTAGCTTGTTCTTGATGTGTATGTATATAATCAATTGAATTTTTATTTCTAATGTACTGTCTCGGTGAAAAACTTGTATAGCGCTAAACTAATGTTAAGAAGAAAAGAAAAAGTCAACAAGTTAAAGACTACGAATCATAATAAACTAATCATTTGCAATTGTCTATTTTGAATACTTGTAAAAGCCAGCACCAGTTTTCTTGCCAAATTTACCTTCACTAACAATTTTATTTAATAATTCACTTGTTTGAAATGATGGCTCGTTGGGATAGAGTTTTTTCCATCCATCAACTATATATTTTGATGTATCTAAACCAACATAATCTAGCAATTCAATTGGACCCATTGGGTAGCCAGCACCTAATTTCATTGCTGTATCAATATCTGTATAAATCATGTTTTAATTAAAATTCAATGCAAGAAAAAAGATGCTTTGTTTAATTACCTTCAGCTGTAGCATCGCCACGTTCGATCATTCGAACTGCTTCAAGAAGATAAGGTACTAATAAACGGTTAACAATGAAGCCTGGTGTATCCTAGAAAATTCATGTGCAAAATGACTTCCGGATAATAATCGAACGCCGGAGAAAAACAGTTATCAGCACTAGAAACTTTAAGAAGTCGTCCATTGAAAGCTAAAGTTCTCGACCAATCAGAAAAAAGCTTCTTTCACATACTGAAATTTTTCTTGGTATTCAAACGGAAATTTCGCTGTCAATCATACCTTGCATGAAACTGTTGCTTTTCCTAGTGCTTTGCCAAAATTTAATAATATTTGAAATGTTTCATCACTTGTTCCTGATATACGAATCACTTCAAGTAATTTCATAACCGGTCTAAGAAGAGAAGTTCAGATTACAATGTAAATATTATCCAAAAAAAGAAACAATTAGTCATGAAGTTATTTAAAAAAAGAAAAGATCAATGCATTAAGTCAATATTTAGTTACAGCTTGTTGGCATAGCGACATTTTCACATGGATTATATTACCAAGTATTTGAGTCTAATGAAGAAGAAGAAAAGTCTTCCTGTTGATTCAAAACTTACACAGGGTTAAAGAAGTGTAAACCGCCGAATTTATCTTGTCGTTGAACATCTTTAGCAATGTCAGTAATTGGCAACGATGATGTGTTACTCGTGAAAATTGTATGTCTAAAGACAAAATTTTAAAAATCATAGATAATTGTATTCCGTCTACTTTGGAGCTGCTTGATCGATTTGTTGAAATAATTTTTGTTTTATTTCAAGATTTTCAATAATTGCCTCGATAACAAGATCTGTTGATTGTACGGCTTGAATAACATTTGTACTGGTTGTAATGCGACCTTTAACATCACTTAGATACTGTTCGCCACGTTGTTGATCTTTTTCAAATTTCTTTTTAATGACACGTTTTAAACTTGTGTCAATTATATTTAAGCTTTTGTCGAGAAATTCTTGTTTTTGATCAACAAGAATTACTTGATGATTGGTTTCAGCAGCAACCTAGATGAAATTATTCATTTTAGAAAAGCGTTAACAACTCGTTTGAATTCTTAAAACTTGCTTGAGCTATGCCTGAACCCATTAAACCGCCTCCAATGACAGTTACAGTCTTAATAGTTCGTCCAAGCGAACTCGCTGCCCTACTTGCAACTGATGCGGATGCCATCTGAAAAGAATAAATTTAATATTTCATTCACCATCACCCGTATAATGAGTTATGTACGTTTTTTTTTCTTTTTTTTATAAATAAGATTAAGATTATAAACAATGTAAAACAACAAATAAAAATACACAATCTAATTTTTTAAATCACTGGGGAAGAGGCGTATTCGGTACGCGCATACGTATAGTAGCCGGTTGAAAACAATGCATGCATGTATTGAGTTGTTTTTGCTCTAAACGAGCGTAACATTCGCCGCACATTGGGCAATGTTGACAAGGATCATATTCATGTATAGCAGGTTTTTCTGTACAGATAAGACAAGCATTATCGATATTTTCCGAAGTTGGCACTGGTGAATTGACTGAACGAGATGAAACTGAAATTATTCGATTTACTGGTGGACGTTCACTTTTACGTTTTGTTGCACCTTGAAGAAAAACAAAAAAAGAAAATCTCATGTGCTCTTTTAAGGGCGTTCTTCTGTTCTATTTTCTATAGAATAGGATCTCATAGGGTGGAAATTGATTCCTTCGGCTTGCGAACCATAACAGACAGTACTTGACGAAATACCGTGGCATAAATTTTAACCACATTTTTATCACATCAGCGTCGCAACCGCTGCTGACATTTAATCAGCAACATCTTACAATGATGTATAAATTACTTTATTATTGCATTTCGAACAGATTTCCTGACAACCTAATGAAGAAACATGTCTCAAAACAGATAGAATAAAACAATTTCGCTGTGATTAGCAACTAGATTGTGTCTAACCTTTTAATCACGTAGGGATCACGTCAACAGATGTTTCTTCCTCTAAACACTATTATTATTCTAACAAAAGATTTAACTAATCAATAAGCGGTTTTTCTCTCTCTCCTATTTATCCGTTCTATCTACAACAGGTGCCAGCAACATAATAGTTTATATCTTGATAAACAAAAAGTAATTATTTTCCAAAAATTTGATTTGCTGCCACATGCTGATGGCGTTGGCTATGATATTTAGCCGCTAACTTGTTATTTTGTTTTCTTCGAAACTCTCGAATTTTCACAGGAAAATAATAACTTACCACTTTTATCAAATATAATACGTTTAATCTTTTGTGTACCATCCTTTTCATATTTGAGTCGTCCTTGTGGAACTAGAAAATAACAAAATAATAATTCAACCTTAAAATTGGATATATACTCAATGTACTTCTTCCACATTCAAGAATAATTCGATTGACATAATCAAGACCACGAACCTTTTGTATAAAATCACAGAACGGATAAAATGTTGCGTGCTCTTCAAATGGACAATCACTAAATTAGATTTAACAAGCATTACCTATTGTTCAATTGAACGCAAGACTGAATACCGTGGTTCAAAATGTTGTAATTTATTACCGCAATAAAAACAACAAACACTGCCGGTACCCATATAGAAAAATCCAGCTTCAGCCATCATCTGATTCGAAAGACGGCTACCGCTTGGATAAGTCCATTCAGATGTAAATGTTTGTATACGTTTTTCAATTTTTGAATACGATGGATATTCTGGATAGAGCAATTGACTTTCTATCTATAAGAAAGATAAATTTACCTGTTTTATTTTCTTCTTCTATCTGAAAAATTTTCATACCATAGTAATATTCGGATAGAGCCCTCCAGCTTCTCGTCGAACCCATGTACACCATGGATGATTTTGGTCCATCATTATTCCATTAGCATGTCGATGTACACGCATGGGTGTCCATGGCTCATCACTCAATGGCGGACGCGCAACACTTGGCCGTGTAGTCATGATACTTTGAAATTGCTGTTCAGTTAAATGAACATCACACCACGGGCAGAGAAGAGTCGTACCTTCGCCATTCAAATAAAATCCTACATAAGCGAGATGTGCAACATCGACTTGTGCAAATGTAGTACACATATGTTGTTTAAATGTATCTAAACGATTTGATTCGTGAGCGAGAAACGAACGTATATCGACCGGCGAAGAAACCGACGACGAAGATCCAATCGTGGGCGATATTTCATAGGAACTACAATCGGATGAAATGCTTTCGTCTGTACATTCATGTATCTGTTGTTGTTGCTGCTGTTGTTGTTGCTGTAAATGTAGCTGTTTAAATGGATTCATATGACTTGACATACTAGCCGGTGTCAATTGTGTATAACCATTGGTAACGATTGGATCTGAACAAGTTTGAGCTTTTTCTGTTGTTAATGATTCATGTGATGTTAAATTTAGAAGGGGCGAGCGTATTTGTAGATTATTATTGATGAAATACGTAGTAGACGGCGCAGCTACAGTTTCACCCTCATCGTCGTCTGCTGAATCTTCTGATTGATCCGATAGAAAAGGTTTTTCGTCATGGGAAGTTGCTGACGGTGGCGATGGAATGTCAGTGGTAGCTGATGTCGTTGAAGGAGACGAGATTGAACCTATAGTAGTTGACTGAGACGATAGCGATGATGTTGGAGTTTTTGGTTCATCTAAAAGTTTGAATTTCATTGATAAAGAAAGAATTAGAAACGAGCATTTACTTGATTTAAATCGATCATGGAGAACTTGTGCGATATATTTAACTCCTAATATTTCTTTAATCCATTCACATGTTGGATAGAAATGTGCATGTAATTGTGCCATAGTATATTGTGGATATTTTTCGCGTCGTATTTTATCATTCAATGGTAACGAATTTCCACATTGAAAACATCGCATACGTCTTTGCTCTAGCGACAAAACAAAATCAAATATTAATTTACACGGAAAATTGAAAATCTTACCATCAAGAAAAAATCCCCCTTCAGCCATATCACGTATATAACTGTCCTCCATTCTACGTCGTTCTTTATATTTGTCGAATGATTTAATACGATCAAATATCGATTGATATCGAGGATATTCTGGAAAACGTTCCCGATGTGGAATAGCAATATTAGCTGGACATTGAGCTCGTACTATAAGACAATCAACCATTAACCCATGATGTTGATCATTAGTGGTTGTTGTCTTTTTTATTGATTGTTTAGTTAGATAACGATGTTGTGACATAATTGACTGGTCTAGTTTTGGTTCGATGGTTACACCGCAAAAGGCGCAACGAATAAATTTGGTATTTTTAAAGCGATAGAAACCACAGGCAGCTAATTCTCGACATAAACGTTGATCGATTTCAGTCGAATCTCCACTGTCGGCGTTTGACTCAGAAAACGATAAACCAAGAAGTGTTTCAAGACGCCACTTTTCATTGGCTGTTTGAATATCACCGGTTTTTATACTATCAATGGCTCGGACTATTTCACAATCATTTCTACGTTTGCGATGCGTACCAACGGCGGTCATACCATGACGCCAATCGTCAACTTCAAGATCACACATGAAACATTTTACTTTGAGCCCTTGACCAAGATAATAGAATCCCGAATCGACCAATGCTTGCGCTGATATTGGCGCATTGCGTGGCCAATTTTCAAATGTAGCTAAACATTCATCAATTGTTTGAGGTTCCTTATCTTTACTTTTCGACATCGTTTGCGGTCTCGTTGTCATCGGATTACGATTTCGTCGTTCTAGAAATAAAATTTGAAAACAAAAACGAATTTTCGTATTGTGTTCTCCACTGTTTTTCTTTTACCTTGAGGTGAAACTGTTTGAAAGTATCCAGCATCGGCTACAAATTTCACACCAGCTGTATAGATAATAAAACGACATGGAAAGAAACGTGCATGTTCAAGTTGTACGATATTTTCATTGGTCGAACTTATCGCAGACGCCCAATCCACCAACGTATTGCCGCAATAGAAACAAGTTACACCATCATCGACACCTAAAAAAGAACTATGCGGAAGTTGTTATCCAAAATAAATAAAAACCTGTAAAATAAAATCCATGTTTAGCCATTATTTGTGGTGTAACAAATAATTTTTGTGCTCCCTCTACTTGTTCTTGAGAATAAGGCCATAATGCGTATGAATGTAAGCGTACTGCATAATTAATATATTCAGGTATTTCAGCATCATCCCAATGTGGTTGTTGATTCGATGATAGTGGCGTATGAAGATCATCTATATTTGTACCAGATTCATATAGTAAAAATGAACAACGTTTGCCGAGAAGTGAAACTTTTTTTCGATGTAGTTTTCGAAAATGATTGGATTCATATTCCACATTCTCATCGAAATGTTCAAGATTTATTTTAACACCACATTGTGGACATACACATTCATTTTGTCGATGAACAAAACCAGCAAGAGCCAATTGACGACGAGTTATTAACGGAAGATGTGCAAGACTTAAGAAAAAAACATTTTATTTTTTCATTTTCGAAAAGCACATTTTTCGATTACCTTTCAAAAGTTTGAAGTCGATATCGTTCGGAAGCAACGATATGATCAATTTCACAGGTATCTGCCATCGTCATGCTTCGCTAATTTGGCATAACTTTTTATATATTAAATTTATCTAAAATGTAACTACCAATTAGATAAATACTCTCAGTTATTACTCATTTAAAAAAAATCAATAATCACTCGACTGTCTCCTGTTCCAATAATTTCTTGCTTTTTTTCTCTCGTTCTTTTCGAGCTTAGCTTTAGGCAACACGAAATGCTTGTGACAACTATAGACAAAGTGTGTTTTTTCGTTTTGCGACACAATCTAGTCAACAACAGTCATTTGTTCGTTTTCTTTTCAAATGACACATGCTATATCTACTGATCAAATAAAAGGCCTCATCTTATTTATCGCTGTTAAAAGCATACACTAAATATGGTACGGGTTATTATTGTAGTTCTATTTACTTCTTAATCTATCTGTAAATACTCAAAATAAATACGTCCAGTTTTCTTCTTAATATTTATATCCTCGAAAAAAACAGGAAGACGGAGAAGTGATTTCGTCTAACGCAAAACATTCCAGCACGTGACGTGCCATGCATAACAGAAAAAGCAAAATGAAACAACAAAAAGATACCGGCGTTCTTTTTATTAGAAAAACAAAGTTCGAATAACAATAAATTCGAAATCACAAAAAAGAGATTTATCGTTTGCTTTTCTTCGTTGGTGCTGATGCTGCTGGTGGCGTAGATTTCGGTCTAACGGGTGAAAAATAGCACAAAATTTTTTATGAATAATATTAATGGTTCCTTCTTACCTCCATTGAGGTTTATCGATTGTTAAATCTGTTTCAAATGATGATGAATCTCGAGGTCGTTTCGATGAAGATCCTAAATAGAACAAAAATATTATCGATCTTAGCGCCGTATTCTCAATTTTACCATTCGTTTGACGTGTTTGAAACCGTGCAACTTTTTGCATTTCAAATTTGACTCGATCATCAGCCTAAAATTATTTTCAAAAACAAAAAACAAAACGTGTTTTAGTTCTATACACTTTGCATATTTACCGTTTTTGGCGTTGATTTCATTTTTTGTATTTGTTCACGTTCTTCTTTTGATACTTTTTTCTTTTTATTGCTGTGCGGATCCAACCGTAATTTATCTTGTTCTGCTATACGTTCGTTTCGATTTTGAAACCATTCACGTTTTGCATTGCTAGTATCTGTTTTACTATCTTTTAAACGTTTTTCAGCTTTATCGATCTAAACAAAAAAAGATAGCTGATTAAGAAAGCTTTTGTCTTTTCATGGAAATCTCCATACTTGTGTTTCACACGTTTGAAGCATTTTTTCACCGTATTCCATTTTGAGAATTTCTTCAATATCTGGTTCAAGTTCTTCGAGTTTATTTCGAAAGATTTGAACAATTTCTGCATGAGAAGAAGAATTTTTTCGTTTTTTTCTCGTGCAATGAAAAATATTTTTACCTTGAGGAATAATACGCATTTTAGCCGGAACTTTACATGTTTTTAAGATATCTTTTAATAAATGTCGTTCATTTTCACCAACAAGAGAAATTGATCGTCCTACAAATAGAAAAGTACGTGTTGTAACTAAAACAGTCAGTACCATAATAACGAACAAATGTCGGCCGACTGCTAATCTCTTATTAGACAGTAACAATATTTTGAGTATGTAAAACGTATTAATCAATAGATTCTCTTCTAACCTATTGTCATATGTGGCAAAATATTATAGTGCAACGGAAAGCACCTTCGTCATTTCTCATTATAGGTGAATAATCTAGGCTCGTTTTTGTTCTTAAAAATATCTCAATATACTTGAAATGTCATTGATCTATTTACGCGCAAAAATAATATTAATCAAATAGTGTACGTCCACAAAAACGGGGGCACATGACACAATTTACAGAGAATNCCACAAAAACGGGGGGCACATGACACAATTTACAGAGAATGACAAATGTTCTACGACTATTTATTTTAGTCGTGTCACCTGCGATTGTTTAAATTTGACATATTCAGCTGTATTGAGTATTCAAAAACCTATCAACGACTCGAATCGCAATGAAATAATAGCGAAGAACGTTTTAGTGGGCTCGAATGTTGGCGACCGTAATGCGGCTGATCTTAGTTTTTACCTGTTTTTCCTGCTCGAGCAGTTCGACCAACCCGATGAATATAATGTTTGAGTGTATTCGGCAAAACAAAATTAATAACCTAAAAATCCAATTGAAACAAAAATGTAAAATTTCATCGGCACAAAAATATCTACCGTTTTAACATTCTCAATGTCAAGACCACGTGCAGCTAAATCAGTTGCAAGTAACACGTCGATTTCTTCATTTTTAAATCTTCTTAATGTATCCAATCGCTAGAAAACGAAATTCCAATTCTTTCTTCTTCTTCTTCTTCTTCTTAAATAAAACAACAGCGTACCTGTGTTTGATTAAGATCACCGTGCAATTCGCCTATTTTAAGTCCCAGTAAACCAAGCATAACATGCATACGGTGGCATTGTTTTTTTGTTTGTGCGAATACAATAACTCGATCATGAAATGTTCGCGTAATTAAAGCAGCAATAATAGCTTCCCGGTCACCTTCACGATGTTCACGAATGCGAATAAATTCTTGTCGAAGATATGGTGCAACAGATTGATTGTCATCAATAAATAAACGAATAGGACGATTAAGTGAAACTTGAATAAGATCTTTGATCTATAGAGAAACAATTTAAGAGTGAAAAATGAATGCGTATAAAACTTTACTTGATCAGTCATGGTAGCTGAGAAAAGCATTGTTTGACGTGTACGTGAACAATTAGTAATAACTTCTTTCATTTGCTCGAAATAATATTCATCTAACATTCTAAAGACAAGCAGATAGATTTTATGGTTAAATAAAAAACTAAAATTATCTACCGATCAGCTTCGTCGAGAACCAATATTTCAATATTTTGTAAAGTAAATGTTGGCGAATTGTGTATGTGATCAATTAAACGACCTGGTGTTGCAATGACAATATCAGGCTGTAAACGTAATGATGCTTCCTGAGATTTTAAATCCAAACCACCTAATTATAAATCAGCGAACATATAGACTATGAAAAAAACTCGAAAGCACATACCAGTTGAAAGACAGCTCGTTATGTTATGAGCAAATTGACTTAGTTGACGAAAGACTTGATGAATTTGAACACATAATTCTCGCGTTGGTGCCAAAACAAGTACACGTGTGCATGGCGCAGTTTGATGAGGCTTATAAAGAAGTCGTTCAACAATTGGCAATGCAAAAGCAATTGTTTTTCCTGAAAGAGAAATACAGCGTTACGTTTAGTTAATTTAAATAAGCACTGAATCGTTAACCCTAATAGAACTTGGCTACTTTTAGACTCGATTAGAATCAATGTAGCTAACTTGCAGTGCGCGAGCTTTCATCGCAAATGCCGTTGGTTCTCTTTGATCGGGATAATTACTAACTAAAACACTTGTCTGAAATGCTGAAGAGATGCCCATGCTGTACGAAAATCACTGAAGTGTAATATGTTTTGTTACTCCCGCCCGTGGTAAACATATTCAGGAGTTTAAAATGTCATTATAACAAGTATTTATCGGCTTTTGCTATTCTTATTTAGACTCGCAGCGGCATACTACGCATAAAAATCTTATCATTATGTTAAAAAAGCCCCTAAACTGTTGTTTTAATTAGACAATCTTATATTTAGCAATTTAATGCCGGTGGGCGTCAGTAAAAACTATATATCAACGCAAGTTTTAATGCACTCATGTTGCAGCGGACGAAGAAATTCGCCGATGAATCTTCTCTTCCTTAAAAAAATAGAGAAAATAAGTTACCAGAGCCTGTAACAGCACAAGCGCAAACATCACGACCAAGAAGTGCAAGGGGCACTGTTGCTGCTTGAATAGGTGTTGGTGAATGTAGACCTATTGCTGAAAGAGCCTAAAGAAACGCATCAAACTAATGGTAGAATACAGTTTTTTCTTCTGTCGATTTACTTTAAGCAATGGCCGAGAAATTTTCATTTCAGAAAACACTTGATCCGGATTGAATGGCGGTGATTCTTCGAAGAATTCATCTTTCTAATAATGCAGATGAGAACGAGAATAAATTAAAACCTTTAAAAATTTTCATTTCCTACTTTTTTATCTTTGGATTTTTTCTTTTTCGATTCTTTTGTTTTTACTTTATCTGAAATCGGTTCATGTTCCACTTCCATTTCAAACGCTTCATCTTCAATAGTATTTGCTGTTGTATTTTCTTCCTCAGTGTCGGGCTTATTTTTCTTCAAATAGAACAAAAAACATCATTCTTTTCAAAAGCAAAGCAAAAATTCTTCTTACCTTTTTTCTTCGGCTTCGAACTTCAGCAATTTTTTCATCGATATTTGATAATTCTCCTCTTGTTTTCAGTTGATCATCATTATCATTTCTGTGTTTTATTAGTCGCTTATCCTCTGGGTCATCCTGAATGCGAAAACAAATACATTTATTAAAAACATAAAACTAAATATAATTCTGTTTTACCAAAAGGAATTGAAATTGTTCATTGAAATCAAGTGACTTTCCTTTTGTAGCTTGTGCTAATTTATGAGCACGAGCTTTTGCTATCATTTCATCGTCATTATCGTCATCATCATCAGGTCCATCAAGATCTGGTACATCATTATCGTCGTCATTAATTGTAGGAATCAATGCAATGGGATCAGAGTTTTGCCGAGACATTGTATTAATCTACAAAAGCAATATATTATTTATAAAACGGTTTAGATCTAGTTCTTCGAGCTACAAAGGAGACACGTATGGGTTTAATTAATTCCTACTCATGCGTTCTTTTGATTTAAATAAAAGATTTTCTCGGATTGACAAGAATTAATTTAGCAAGTCAAGGGTAAAAATTAAATGTTTATAACCTTTTACGCGTTTCTTCAAGGCAGAAAAAATAATCTCCGTGCCAGGTTTGCTCAGCAAAGGTTCAAAAATAGACTGGTAAGATGTAATCAACGTCGATTTCAACACTATAATTTCCTGGGAAAGTTGATTTAGTTGATTTTTTAAATCTAATGAAATAATTCGGTCGCACTGCCTAAGAAGATTTTATTATTATTATTTTCAAATACACGGAGTCTCGGGTGTACAGTTATAATCTTGAATATAAATATGATTTTGATCATACATATATAAATATAACCGCAGTTCGAAAAGTGCTCACAGGAAAAAAGAATCTTAAATTTCAGATGTACAACACATATCATGAAGAAGAAAAGAAAAAGAACAACGATCAGAATTATTAATAAAACGATATACATTTCACAATACAATAAATTGACTATGAGAATAAATAATACGAAAAACAAAAAAAATAAGAAACGAAGAAAATTTAACAACCACCTTTTAGACAAGAACAAAAATGAATCACCGTTAAAAAAGAGAAAATAAATTCTAAATCTGTTCTCTTTTATGTAAGCGTTCATTAATCAATTCGGTTTCTTCGAAAATAAGTTGTTTTAATTGCTGTAACGGCAAATCGTCGAGTTCCATATCGAATGTAAACGGCTGCACCGCAATCGGTTCATCTGATGGATCATAATATTGAGCAAGATATGGATGTTTCAGTGCTTCTTCGACTGAAACACGACGATTTGGATTGAATGTTAGAAGATAATCAAGCATATTAAGCGATAAATCTGATGCATTAGGAAATAATTGTTTCCATGGAGTTTTCTTACGAACAGGTAATAAACTGACATAATTTCGAGCTCGTTCATTCACTAGGAGAAAAAAACAGAGAAAATTAAATCAAATCAAATTTCACCTTCGGCCTACCGATGGATACTAAATCGGATTCATCGGGTGAACCAATAACATTTAAAATTAAATTTATTTGTTCTATATAATGTTTACCAGGGAATAGAGGCCTTTAAACAAAAATTTCTTTATTTTTTCTTCAAGAGAAATTCCAAGCAATTTACTTTCCACCAATCATTTCAGCTAGAATACAACCAACCGACCATATATCAATTGGCTTATAATAACCGCGTGCGTTAAGCATGATTTCTGGCGCTCGATACCAACGCGTAGCAACCTAAGTTTGAAAAAGATATATATTTGTTTTCCTAATCTAATTGATTAACAATTTACATATTCAGTAAGAAGACCAGAATGATCTTTATTTGGGTCGGCTACTCTTGCAAGACCAAAATCACATATTTTCAAGTCGCAATTTGTATTTAAAAGTAAATTGCTCGGCTTGAGATCACGATGTAAGCTAAAACAAAGATAGTAACGGTTGATATTTTCGTTCGTTATTAATAAATTTTAAGCATACACATTTGCTGAATGAATGTATTTCAGTCCTCGTAAGATTTGATAAAGAAAATAACAAATATGTTCATCAGTTAAACGTTGATGACGTAATAATTTATAGAGATCACATTCCATAAGACATTGCACTATGTAAATATCTTTCATTTGATCGAACGACGCGGCGCGCATCACTTCTTGAATATTAATTATATTTTCATGATGAAAACGTGATAGAATTTTTATTTCACGTAATGTTCGCTGACAAAAACATTGATGTTCAAATGGAGTAATTTTTTTAATTGCAACACGTTGTTCGGTTGCATGATCCAATGCTGATACAACCATACCTATTCGATAGAACGATGATATTAGCGATTGGAATTCTATTTTTGTTTAGTTTTAAAAATAAATGCCTGCATGACAATATGTTTTTATTACGATTCCGGCGACCGGATTTCCACGTTTAAAAGCCGGAAAAAAACAGTCGATATCGAGTATAGAATGCGATCGTCGATTTCTGTTCGTTATATCCTCATATTCCACGATCAATATTTCTTGACCTGAAAATCTAATGTTTCTCAAAACCAATTTGTTTCTCTTAGAAAGAATTTCAAAGAAGTAGAAATTGGTTATGTCAGTACTTATATAAGGTCAAAGGTAAATAAAACATCCATAAACAACGGAAAACTCGAACTGAAATTTTCTTTTCTTTCCCAAATAGCAATCAAAGTGATTGCTTCCCCTATTGAAAATGCAATCGTATCCCTCGATTTCACAATGAATAACAACGGAAAAGTGCAAAGTACCCAAATAAAAGTTCATCAACGTCAAAGTGCATCATTGCTTGTTTTTCATTAATTTAAAGATAACAAATCACGCAATATTCTTTTTGTTCTTTAACCGTGATATAATGAAAAAGAAAGGAATCCCAGTTATAGCGATGAAAAAAAATCTGATGCTAGCCTAGATCTAGACGAGTAAGAATAATTAAATGTCGGATATATTGTATGCTCATGCGAGGGATAGAATTGATAATTATTTTCAGATTTCTGTCTCTAATAATCTATCTCATCACGCCTTCGTTGCAAGAAAACAAAAGTCGGATCGTTGGTTTGCACTTTAATCACTAGAATAAAAACTTGACTTATAAATTTAACGAGACGGAGAAAAATATATATTGTCATCATCGTTCAGTGCAAAGTCTCACATAAATAGCTCAATTATCAAATTTTAGTTCAAACAAAATAGGGATCTACGTCAAAGTAGTTTCATCCAATAGAAATTATGTTTATAATGAATTACTACTAAAACAAACATAAAATCGTTGTTTTCGTCAAGCAACATCAGAAACTAATCGAATCCAGATAGCAAAAACTAGCCTCGAAGGAATGCTACAAACAGTGCACACCTAATTATAAATATTTACATTGCATTCAGATTAGGTTTGCAATATCATACCTTAAACAATATATACGATTTACGCGGACATTTATTATATTCTAGCCTACCGGAAATGTTATCAACCTAGATACTGAAATAATTATTTTCCTATGCTTATTGATATTCGGCATGTGTTGCAATGGTAACGATTTTACTGCACCAACTTTATTAATCGACTTGTTTTCTTCTATGGAATATCTTTGTTATTATAATGAATATATAACTAGCAAATACCAAACTATTCAAATTTTTACACGACCGTACAAAACTTGGATATTTTTTCTATTACTTAATTATAACCAGAACAGCAACACTATTTCTTCTAAACGAATCTAAGGAGTAAACTAGTAGATTAATCGAAAATTTCGCTGCCTATAAGAAGTAGAAAAGCACAAGTAAGAACGGTCTAAATAGCATATTACTAATTAATTGTCCTTGAAAGAAAAGCAAAGGTTTGCCATAGGAGACTTAGAGTTTCTTCAACTATATTTAGACATACGAAGGAAAAATAAATGATATCTTGTTTCAATTTCTATACATACCATATGCGCCTTCGCCGATAAATTTTAAATCAGTATAACGTGGACCAACATCAAACCGTTGTTGTCGAACGATTTCAAAAGTTTGCGCTGAAGGTAATATTTGATTTGTTGGTTTATGTCCATCGATTCCGTTTGCTTCACCTCCGATTTTAGTTTCGTTCATATTAGCAGAGTAGATTATTTAACATCCAGGGAAAATATGCAAACAGTAGTTTATATGTGTTGTTAGTGACGAGTCGTCTGCAAATGACAAAAAGAAAAGCGGCATGTTTTTATTTTTTACCAGGTACGCAGTGAGAAGAAAGAAAAAAAAATAAGAAAAACGGCGCCTTGATATATTTCTAACGATGCCTGATAATTTCATATAAACCTGCGGTACTCATTTCGTTTTTTCCCTTCTATTTAATCGTCTATTTTTTTTTCTTCTTCTTATTTGGACTCTACTTCATCATGAATGATGATACCACTCATATAGAGATCAACGAACGAGGAAACTCTAGTCTTCTTATGTCATTTATGCTAATGTCAACACCTTCGGTTGATAGAGAAAAAGAAAATCTAAAGTAGCTTTAATAATGCTATATATACAGCATATTTTATCATGACCTATTTTGAAAAAAAAATATAAAAAAAAAAGAAGAGAATAACATCGAGTCAATATTTGATTTCTTTTTATTGCTGACAACTATTGATTACTTCTTGTTTGTGTATTCTAATGGCAACTTGTATATTTTAATTGAGGTCTGAACGACAAAAATGCATATATATGTTATTTAGTGTATTATCGATGTTTTCTCTTTATTCTATCTAGGGTTTTACATTCATTAATAGAACAGTTTTAGCACAATGGAAAAACCATTAAGATCTGTCGTGACTGACAACTCATATTAATTTATGTAATATACATCATATGTGTGATATTTGACGATTCAAATATTAGCCTATGGAAATTTTGCACTTAAAATAGGCTACATTAATTGTGACTTACCATTAAGAGTATTAAAAAAACAAATTTTCTTATCAGGTGTAAGTACACACTGATGACAAAAGATAAAAGGATTTTTCTAAAAGTTTAATGAAATTTTTACATAGACGACAAAAAAAATTTCTGTATTAATAAGATAGATACTGCTTAGTTCTTTTTGCCTTTATACTGATTTATTACTGAATAGTGTATATACATCACTAAATTTTTCTATTTTTCTTTTTATTACTTTCTCTCCTACGGCTACACGCAGCTGATACACATTAGAAGAAAAGAGAACCAAAATGCTATCATATCTATGCAAAAACAATAAATGTATGTCTGGTCTTTTTCCAATAATTGAAAATTTCCGAATAATAGAAAGTCTGAAAAAAACAGAGATAGAATATTCTTCGATACATATATTTTTTAACATCACCTCAATAACCCCTCTTTTCATCGAACATAAGTGACGTCTTAGCTTTTTCTAATGTCACACAAGCATATATGCACCCTCAAGAAAAAGTACCAATTAAGATATTCCTCTCTCTCTCTCTCTCTTCTGTCATTCGGTTATTCGCTAGGATTTCTTCCTTTCTTTTATTTTTTTTTCAACGGGCAATATATTTTTTTTCTTATACTGTAACTATTGTCGATTCCTACCCATCTAGAAAACATGCAATAGGCGCAAGAGCACATTGCTTTTATGTGTCAAGTAGAAAGACAGACTATCATATTCATGTATGTTAATAGAATATGTTGTTCCATATGAACATATTGATTGAATCATTATTTCAGTAAGAGAATCCGTGAGACCGTAATTGATATAAACTATTAAAAAAAGAGCAAAACACTGAAAACAACATGTCCCCGGTATTGGTAAAAATAACGAAGTAGGGAGAAGAGAACGCAAGAAAAAGAAAAAAGAATTACGACAAGGACATTATGGAATCGAGGCTTCACTTGTTTATCAATGTGAGCACGAAAAAAAGAAGAATAGCAACATTAGAGTAATCTAGGCATCAATAATATTGCCCACATACATATCGAGCGATAGAATCCTCCAGAAGATCATTTTACTTCATTAGTCATTCATTACAACTCTGATTGACTATACGATAAGAATAGAAATCTAAATGCATTGTTTTTAATACTAGCATAAATATCGATAAAATACAAGTCTTAAATCTGCACTCTAAGTTCGTTAAATGACTTGACAAATTCAATTGGAAATAATATTTTCATTCAAGAGAATTATCTTTAGTAGCTAAATGGCGTGGCACACTCGATTACATGCAAAACAAAAAGGGTATTTTAAGCAATAGACATTTAAATATATTAAAAACCGATTTCTTCATAATAACAAAAAAAATGCAACAAGTATTTATAGGAAATGGAAGAAACATTTTTGGTAAAGAAAATAGGGCAAAAACGTTTTTGTTGTTTACTCTACGGCTTCTGTTTTTAAGCGAAATTTTGATCCTAAACTCATCTAGAGTACTGAATAAGTTATTGAAAAAAGAAATCAAATATTTAAAAAAATTTTCATTTTCTAATCAAGCAATATCAAATTCACTCTTTGTACTTAGAGAACAAATGAAATACGAGTCGTTTTCGTTCAACTACAACAGACACTAGAGTAGCTTGGTAAAAAAAAATTAGAATAAAAAAAGGAAATAAGTAACTTAGACTTAAATATCTGTCATTCATTCATTCTCTTGAAACATCATCAGACAGTATAGCTACTAATCTATTTTATTCTAGGTAGTATTCATACGTCAAAAAGCTAATTAAATTTTTCTTACGTATTTTTGCACTTGTATATTGAGAGAAAAAAAATCTTTTGACAGATTCATAATATAAATAGTTACTCTATCAACCGAAATACCATGAATACTTGTGTTGATGGATTTCAATCGTGATATTTCATGTAGACAAATCTCGAATGTTTAGAAGCTTTAGTATAGAAAATAGCTGTTTTTCATGGTTTGTTGAGTATCTCATGATTATAGAAGAAAGCCTGAAGTTATGAACATCTAGTTACAATTCATGAATAATAATTTATATCTACCATTGATTCAGTAGATTAGGACTCTTAGTTCCGGAATCAAACGGGGGTGAGTGTAGTCGGCATAACTCGGTAATGATAACAGAGAGATTGCTTTTATCTTAGATTCTGTACAACAAAAATAATATTCGAAGTCGACTGCTCCTATTATCGAATTATTCAGAGCACAGAAGCCTCTAGCAGGTTTTAGTCTCGACATCTCTCACTCGAGCTGAAAGTTTCAGCATATGTGACCCTAATTCAGTTATATTCTATTCTAAAAAGCTGTTAGCACAATCCGTGCGAGATTAAAATGTGAAACACGATGAAACTCCTTTTCTGGAATCCGTCTATCACAGTCAGTGAAGCTTCTCTGTTGTGGCCTGTATTATGATGTATGGAGTCTCTAGAAACCATCACAGAGAAAAATGATTAATTAATTAGCCAATTATCTAATTAGTTAACTTCTCTGTAACGGTCTGTGGGGAGGGTTCAAATTTCTACCCTATATACTTCAACAAGACACTTGCAAATCAATAAATGGGCTTAACTATTGTACAATCTCGAGTGCAAGATGGTTTTATCTGAAGTTGAGGCCGGTGTTTATTTTTTTTTGTTAACATAAGCCTGCGCTTATTCATGATTACAATATTAAATAGAAATATGTTTAGGGAAAATTTCAGTCGGCTCATTCAGAATTTATTGTCGATTTTTTTCCAAGGTTTTACTCGTAAAATAATCTTGTTAGCTGTGCGATTTTTTTTCTTCGTTATATTTATATAATGATAAATCTAATGCAGACAATAAATGTACTGAATTTTTCAATGGTCAGACGTTGACGCTGCACATATTCGTGATTGGAAAATCAACTACCTTGAAGCAATTGTTTTTCAACTATCGAAATAAAAGCATGGATGGGCGAGCTGAAGCTCCATAGTTAATTATTCTGACGGCGTAAAGCTAATGACACTTTGTAGGAACATATTTTTACGAGTTTTATATTAACAATACACAGCTTCTATTTAAAAATAAAAAATTCAAGACGCGCTATGCATACTCTTTACAGTCGATTAGATAAACTTAACAATTCAATTACAATATTACAGTTGATGTAGTTAATGTGAGAGGTTTTACTACTAATAGATTTGGCTCTTTCAAATAACGCCTCGAAGTCGTGTGGAAACACTGCGAATGATTCAGCAGCTGACGATATGAAGTCTGACTTGTAATTTCCTTCAAATTATTTTAGAGTAATCCTTACAGATAATTTTAATCTTTATGAGAGAAGAAAAGTTGAGCGTACCCGAGAATATTTCACTGAGATGAACACTGACATTTCTATTTGATTCATCCAATTTATATCATTGATATTTTGAACTAAAATAAATAAGAAAACAAAAAATAAAGTTATCTTAACCTATGAATTTCATTAGTAAAACCTTAATTGTTTCTTGTTTTGTAACATTATTTTTAAACCAGCTACCATTACGGTGTTCATGAATCACTTGTATTCGTGGTTTTAAAATGTATTAAAGGCAATAAAATGAAGACGAACGACCGATTTATTATCATGCTTGAATTTTACGTTCCCATTAGATGAATAACAAGGACGAATGAAATTTCGAAGAACAATTGGCGACTGATAGCGACATCATAGATGTCCATCGCGGCTCGTCTCGTATTATTGTATCTATTCGAATTTTTCGAGGAAGTTGTTTGTCTTTGCAATTGCAAGACCAAGTAGTTTACTTAATTCTTGGACGAAACAAATTATTAGAATAATCTAAACAATATTTTTCTGGTCAGACTATTGGCTCTAAATTTTATTCATTTCTTTCAAGGAAGATCTATGAACATCAATACGAGAAAATAAAATGTCAAGTTATTCTAAATCAATGCTTTCAAGCTATTCAGACATTAGCCAATGACTAAGAAGGTAATATGATTCGCCTTGCGGGTTTTTTTTGTTCTGCAATCAGTGCCAGTGAGTGTACTGTATTTAAAGACGAGAACACAATGGCTTTCTAATAGATTAAAAAAACCGTCGAGTTCGTCTTACATTTCTGATGTAAATGATACTTCATTTGAGAAGACAGAAGTGAAATTAACTAAATTTCGAGTTCGATGATTTCGCTATCAAGTAGTGACATGAACGAAATTTTCGGGCCATCATAATAGAGCCATACCATCGGAAAATAGTTCGTAGTTTCCCCGAAATAATCATTAAATTTATTATTGAAACCCTTCTCAAAGAGAAAGTCATGCAGCTTCTATTTTTTCTTCGTCGCGTTCATATGATCCACGTATTTGTCGAAATATAAACATAAACGAATTTTACACAAGAAAAAAAAAGAGAACAAGAGCAACATAAGTCGGGAAGTATTCATTCATCTAATGCGCAAAAATCTATCTCTGACAGACAATAGAAACATAACCTATAGCACCAAATATTTTAAAATTTTTTTGTTATTTTTCTTTTTATCATTAGAAGAAGTAAATAATGCACTATTTTCATTTAAACTTGACGATAATATTTATGGTCGTATTAATTATTTTGGTGTGAAAAATCATTGATTGTTGACTGTTCAATAGATTCAGATATTGATGAATCTGTTTGTTTCAATGTACATGTATTATCATTTGATATTTGATTTAATGAATAATTGTCATTGTTTGAATTTTGATTATCTCCAATAGTCGATCTATTAGATGACTTCGGAGGCACCAACGAATTCGTATCATGTAACTCATTTGAATGTTCTACATGATTAGAAATTGATTTTGTTGAATTACTAATAGATAGAAGAGAAAAATCATCATTTGTTTTATATGACAGGGTGAAATAGAACCAAAGCATCATTCGGTATTAGAGAATGTCGTACCGGAGGTAAATCATATTATAATCTCGATTTTTATTTTATTTTATTGGGAAATACGAGACCCAACACAATGAGTGTTCTTATTGGTAGAGGAGTCTCCGGTAGAACTGTGAAAATCGTTCTGAGGGTCGGAATCAAAAGATATGTGTTCTCGCCCAGAGGAAGCAATCGAAAACTTTCGTATTCCATAGTACAGTCAAGTAGACGGGGTTTACAGTTGTAGTAAAAAAGTTCATTTTTTTCTCTAAATAGACAGGCACATACACTAGAATCGCAGGAACAAAAAAACATGTGGTTCCGTATATATCTGGTGCCCGTCTTCTGAATAGACTTTTGGAAAATCTGTTGAATTCGGCGTGCAGGAAGCGTTTCTAAGCGCTTCCTTCACACCAGCCTAACCCGTAAATTATTTTTTCTATCTTCCGAGAATAATGAGACATTTTATCATCCTATCGTGTATTTGACTCTTGTTCAACAGATAAAAATCATCATACTGATTCAATGGTATTTCTGATTACTATTTTAGAGGAAAATTAGCTGGTACATATTTCAAGAGGACTACATAATTTTCCTCGGGTAAATCAAGTTCTACTAGAGTGGAACTAAGCAACAACGTAATCCCACACATCTCCATTGGTGGTGCGATATTCTCTCAATACCAAATCTTATGATTATTATTATTCAATATACCGTGGTTTCGATGCTGTTGATAGCCGAGTTTTAGATTGAATATTATAAGCCTAAAAATAGAAAGTAAATTATCGAAAATTCAACTTTTTCTTTTATGAAATATTTGTTTCAAAAATCATATCTCTACAGATCAAATTTAACTATGTGCTTTTGTCATCTTATCAATTAACAAAGAACATGCAAACATATCTAGTAAGAAAACAAAAAGTTCTACTTGAGTTATTCTATGAAAACTTCCCTACTCGCATTAAAGAATTGAGACGGGTACACTGTAAATAGAAAAAAAATACTCCTTGAATTAGACGCGTTTTTTACTCAAATGAGATAGTTCTGTGAAAAATATTATTTATAAAACTTTTTTCACAGAACTGAATCTTAAAGATTTCGATTTTACCATAGGTGAATATGAATCTGCTGTTGGAGGTATATACCAAAAATTAATTGGAAGAATAGAATGCTAAAACAAAAGAAAATCTTTTTAAGAATATTTTCAATCGAATTAAAAAATTTACATTTCTATTAAGATATTGCGTTTGTGGATAATAATTCATAGCTAATGGTTGCATATTTGCCGTAAATAAAACTCTTGGTGGCATCGTATGTTGATGCGATGATGTATTAGAATTAGAAGTCATTGGTAAGTATTGTTGTAAAACTTGCACGTGACGAGGTTTAACGGCTGTTTGCTGTTGTGATAGATTTCCAATAGATAAGGTTTGATTTGTATGATTGATCGGGATTGTTGGAATATAAACAGGAGAATACGGTTCTTGTGTAAAATTCGATGAAGAACTTTGTGATACAGATAAATCTTTTACAGCCTCGTTTGATGATATCAGAGATTTTTGCCACAGACAAGCTTTCATACGAGCCTACAAAAATCGAAATTTTGTATTTTTCCAAAATAAGATCAAAATCAAATTTTTACCATAATTTTTTGACCACGTATTGAAATACTTTCTCTTGTTAGATACAAAAATGCATTGTGTGCCTCGTCTTCATTGTTAAATGTAACATACCAACAATCTGAATGATTCGATTCTAATACTCGTTCGCATCCAGTTGATGGCACTGGACAAGATTCATTCGAAAATAATGCTAATACTTCATTCTCGGTTGCATCCAATGGTACATTCCGTAATATAATCGTACAACGTTTTCGTGTTGGAAGATATGCTAAATAATCTGATGAACGAACTCTTTTCTCTGCTGCATCAACTTCAATCGAAGGTGATTCTAAAAAAGAAGGGATGTTAGGTAAAGCACGAAATGAATTCGGATAGAGTCATAAATCAATCACAGGAAGAAATCTCATTTGAGATGAGTGACAGGTAGTTCATAGATTGATATGCGCTTTTATTGATTATGATCTGTGAGTTTATTTTCAACAATGTCTGCGAACTATCCGCAGACAGCCAGATGAGCATTCCCATGAGAGAAATTTGTCATATCATCCCATTTGGAGTCTGTCTTCGTAATGGTTAATATAAGAGGAATGTTATGTGTCTTCTATTTGTTCCTGTATCTCCAAACCGATATTTGATTATACTTCTGTACGGATTAGAAACCTATTCGCTAAAAAATAATTAAAGCCTACATTGAAACGAACACGAACTGAATATCTATTGGACAATAGAAAATTTCGTATCATTGTGCGGCTTTTTCTTTTGAAAATTAAGCTCCGTGTAAAGAAATCGACATAGAACTGACAGCTTTCGTGTCTGAGAGCAAAGTCTAAATAGGATGTAATGGGAGTATTTTATTTTAAGACTCCCATAAAAAAAGATATGGGCGAACCAACTCTTCCCATAGGAAAATTTGTCTTTTTTTTTATCTCATGCCATGTCATTGGGAAATCGTATGGGTATTTTAAAAAAGAAGTAACTATCTAGAAGAAACTGATTAGCTCGCGATCTCGTTTAGTAGCTGAAAAAAGAAAGGGTCATGACGACCGCGATGACTCATCATCGAAATTTCGCTGTGCTGAAAATTTGAAAACCTTCTAAAAGACAAATCAATTGAAGTGTCGAGTTTTTCTATGTTTACCTTTGAGAACATCGATAATCAATTGTAAATCATGTGTAAGATGTTTCACAAGTTTAAAATTCGCAATTAACGATATAGGTACGTAACTATCAGCATCCATTTGTGATTGTAAATAAATATCATGTATCATATTTTCTCTTGATAGCAACAAAGAAAATGAAAGATATCGAGAGAGAAAGAAAAAGAAAAACTAACTTGGAGAAATAATATTCAAGTTGTTTACGTAATTTTTCTCTTAATTGTTCCGGTGAAAGTTGTAATGGATGATCTTAGATTTTGTTAATTAAAATAAAGAAAATTGAAATCAATAGAATTTACTATCGTTTACCTGCGAGAGTCCGATAATTGATATTAGAAACTGTTGATAGATGATCGCCTATATTGAACATATTTCTCGTCGAAAATGTTGATTCTTGGTATTTTCGCTGTGCTTGAAAAGAGTGCCCTGTAGATAAATGAACTAAAATCAAAACAAAAAGAGATACATGATATTCTATCTAGAGACTAAACAATTGAAAACATTGTGAAAATTAATAATGAGAACTCCAAACAGACGTATTCGCAATTTATCTCGATCGAATCAAAATTTGAAAGAGTACATGACGATAATCGGAAATCTATTTTCGAAAATATTGGCGTAAATCGCGTGAGATATAACCTGAATGAATAATAGTAGAACCTATTGAAATCTGTCACAACAACTTCATATATCTGCACGTGCTTGAAAACCAAATGACATCTAGATATAAATTATCGTTTCAAGCTAACCTACACACAGAACACGACTAATCAACTTTACCCAGATCGATATAAGATTGATGTTGTTGTAGATGAGGTTCCATTTCATAATTAATCTAGTTTGTATGTAAATAAATTATGTCGAAAAGAAAAAGAAAACTAGAACTGAAATTACTCGATCACTCGGTATATGCGATTGTTCTACGATTCAATTTTTATCGTATCTGAAAACAATAGTATTAAGTTTTTTCGGTGGATATTATTTACCTTGAACAAAAACAAATGATGTTGTTATTGATGTTTCTGCATTTCTTTTCCTGTTGCTTATAGTTTTTTGCCTTATCGTTTTCTTTCTTTTTTTCTTCTGCTTCTTGTTCTTCGTCGTCTTGCGATTTTTTTTTCGGGAGACCTAGTTATTGACGATTTAGAAGACACCATTAAAAGGACAAGAATCTCGTCCTGTTTTTGCCAGATGGTGGATGACAACAGCAGGAATATTTATTCCTTCGATCAGCTAGAAACAAAAACGATAAAGAAATATTGTCGTTCTTAACAAGAACATTTAGACACTGATATTCTATATAAATATTGATATTTGCATTTCGTTTACAATAGGTACAACGCTTTTTCGTTATTTAAATAATATCCAATATAATCCGATGAATAAATTTCAATCATATAATAATAACAAAAGAGAAACGCCTATGTATCGATGGCATTTAGAATAGCAAAGTTCCTTTTTTATGATAACATTGCAATTACAATTAACAATATACTGTTGACCATAAAAATTCTATTTCAAGCTTTTAACAAGTTAAGACTGACAAAACTATCATAAAACACAATGAACATCAAGTTCTATTGCTTGTGTAATTTTATTCAAAATATAAAAGGATTTATAATAGAAAATAAACGATAGCATATGCATTATAATTAAAAACAAATAGAACTACAATTACACATCAGAAAAATTAACAAATATGGGCGAAAGAGAAATACATATTAAGGACGAGCCTCTCTATTTTCTGCTCAGATTAAAAACTATATGAGTCATACTAATAACATCACAAGATCTGAATAGACATGTTATTATTGTGAATAAGATATATGTACAAAAATAAACAAAAAAGAAGAACATAGAGCTGAGGAAAGAAGAAAAAAATTACGAAGAACAGTAAGAGAAAATAAATATTCTTCTTGTATTTTTACACGTTTATAATGTCTACATAGAGAATCAAACTTTAGAAAACATGATTTAAGTGACCGTAAATTTGCGTCTATTTTTTATCATCATGAAAAAATGCGAAATTTACGAAAATGAATATGAATTCCTACATTGATTTTTATTTGTCTCTTTAAGTAACCAATCATATCTTTAGGCTTTTTGTGTGCTTCTTATTCATACATAGATACCCAGCGCGTGCTGTTATTTGTTGTTTTCTCGTCGATTTGTAACAGCTGATCGAGATACTATTTTTGAAAAATATTAATCACTCAAATATGCCTTCATATGATGATGATTTACCAACACAAGATGAAGAAATTTTATTGAAAAAACTTGTTGAAAATGGTGAAGCAGAACAACGAATTCGTGCTGTGTCCGAGGTAAATATATGAATAATCAAGACAAAAGTTGAATATGAGCTTTTTTTTTTGATTAATCTGGAAAATTTCAAATTCTTTTATTTTAATTAATAAATCAGTTAGTGAGCAAAAACTTTAGTGTTTTTGAATAAAATTTCTATTAATTATAAGGTATAGATTTGAGATAAAATTAATGTGATTAGTTTTTTGACGCAACTAGATCATTTGGTCTGATTAGAAAACATTATTATTTTAATGTTTAATCTATAATGAAAAATCTCTATTTACTTCTTTATGATTGATTCTTACTTGTTTTCCTATATTAACTAAGAAGAAATGTTAGTGTTGTTTGAAATATTCATCATAACATGCAAAAATATAATTGCTTTGTTCGTGTTGTATTTTTCTTTGAGGAAAACATGCAAGAAAATATATAAATGTTAACATTACTACTTATCACATGTCTCGATGCAATATTATGGACTAGGAAACGTTCTCAAGTGCTAGGCACTAGTAGATCATCGCGAACGAATTTCTTGCTGACATTTTGTCTCACAATAGGTCTTATAGATGAGACCTAGTGTCAGTCCGTAACGCCTCGTCCAAAGCCGAAAGTTCAGTAAAACAGTCATAACTTTGAAAGAAAGGCGTCTTGTTTCCTAATTCTGTGTAAAATATAAGCCAGAATAGTGCGTATTAAAATGTCGTATCTGTATTTATAGGAGCTTAAATTCATTGTATATTTTCGTTTAGATTAAAAACTTGGTCATCGGTTCTAAACGTTGTAAAGCAGCATTTTTTCGTGTTGGTACAGCTGAAACACTTTATAATTTACTGAAAGAATTTTCGTCATTAAATCATACCGAATTACTTGTTGAAATTATTGATTGTATATCATCATTTGTTAAAACTAATAATAAAACAATTGTGAATCGTTTAATTGAGCTTGGATGTATTCAACATTTATTTGCATTATTAACATTAGGAATCGAGTCAGCTGACTTATGTGAATCATGCCTTCGGTGTTTACGTTCGTTTTTTCTGCCGAAATTATCAACAAAAATATTTTCGAAAGTTGATTATTCAAATCCATTTTTAACACCAATACCATTCGTACTTCTATGCGATCAAGATACACATAAACCTCCATCATTAATAACACAACCTCAAAAAATTTCTTCAGCAACACAATTAAGTTCTATCGAGCAATATTCGCCTTTTGATATTGTGTTTGAAAATCCTCAATTGCTCGATATACTCATTCGTTTATTGTCATTATCAAAATCTGCACAATTATCAATTGTAGAAATTCTATGTTGTTTATGTGTTAATAATGAACGACAACAACAATTAGTCGATAAAAACATTATACCCGCTATAATGCATATACTCGTTGAAAATATTCATGATAAACAACAAAATAATCATACTAATAGGATAACTCAAGCCAGGTAAATATATGTAACGATAGGCGGACTATTAACAATCATTTTAATGATGAAGCCAATGAGTGCTTTTATAATTCGTCTCGTTCGATGTACGAAAGAAGAACTAGAGTAAAGTAACATACGGGTCTTCATCATTAGTCCGGTGATTGATTGTTATTGTTGAATTCCTAGTTGAAATATTCTAATAGAAGTGTTTGTGGTCCTTCATATTGTCACATAAGCTCTCCTTTGATGATACCACGCCGGACTTTGTAATACGGATGTATCGAATACGAGAGAAGACCTACGTGATTAGAGATGTGCAAAGCCACATTATTTCGGTCCCGGTGATTTAAGCCATTCTATTTGGAGAAAATTATAATCGCAAAATTTTTTATTTCTTTACTAAATCTTTGACTCAAGCCTACTCCAAAGTACATCAGTTTCGGTTTCTTTCTCTCGCCGGAAGCACGTTGATTGTCGTCTTAGCCATGGGACTAGTTTTCCACATCTCTATACATAACTTTCTAGATCAATATCTCTTCTACTAAATAAAAACACGCGATGAGCTGGAATCACTTATTCATAGACACCATATCGGTTGAATAGAATATCGTTTTCTTAAATTGTATTGATTTTTTTTATTAATCAAAATGAATTATTTTGAATATCTATTTAGTCTGACAGATGAATATATTGTTGGTGTTTGTTTGAAGCTTTTCTGTTCACTATGCTATGAAAATCCTTGTGTTGCTCAACAATTACACGGCACAATTCATACGGAAACTAATCAGACATTATGCGAAATAATATCGAGCTTGTTAAATAAAATTCATCGGCCTGTTGTTATATCTTATTATGCAGCAAAATTTTTTGTTAATCTTTGTAAAACAAAGGTGCTTTCAGCAGATCATCCATCGGTTTCACTTGAATCTTTAACAACCTTAGTACACTTATCAACAAAATCAACTATAAATAAATGTGTTTATTTATATATTGAATGTCTTGATACACTTATCTATTTACTTAATGGCAATAGTGCATTACATCATACAGCGATGTATACAGAACAATTATTGAGTAAATTATTTATATATATATTTACTCCAACGAAAATTCTTGATGAACATGCCGATGAATCAAGCGTTGTACAACTACGTTCGTCATCGTTAACATTACTTGCTGTTTTATCGTCACACCATGAAGATATTAAAAAGCGAATTGCTGAACAAGAAAGTAAGATTCTGCTTTTTTTAGAGTATAGAGAGGAAAAACGTGATCTATTGGAATTGTATTAACATTATCAAAAAGGGTTACTCGAATGATTCTTTTACATGCATAGCTTTGCAATGAGAATCCTCAACGTGTTTGTAATGTCTATTTCAGTAGGGCAGCAGTTGAAGAAATTAACTAGAAAACACTATTTTGATCTCTAAAACATCAAGCGTACTATCATAGTACTTGTGTGTTGTTATTTTTTTACACAATCGGTGCTAACAGGCTTCATACTCCTAGTGATAATTAAACAAAACTATCTTGAGAGTCCAGGCGTCGAACTACTCTTCACTAAAAGTCAAGCTTCAAGCACCGCAATAGGGAAGCAGAGTTGATAGATTTGGTTGTTATTTATTATTTCCACCTGTACATCATTGCTTGATATGTACCATACGGTGCCCACCAAGGATCGTGCATAAGAAAATTAATCTTGTGATATCGTACGTATCACGAGCTGAGACATACTTGCAGAACGAAGAAGATCAGTTGGTGTCTTTCTTTCACAACGCATAGAGGATAAAACATCGTCGGTATTCGTTGGATGTACGGTCACGACAAGTCTATAGTGTGCATCGCTTTTAATGCGATACGAATATTTATTTAACTAAAAAAAAATATCTAATCTTTAGATTTAATTTCAACTGCAATCGATTGTTGTCGTTCACCTCATTTATCATTGCAATTAGCTGCTCTTTGTCTTTTTCATGGTTTATCACGAAGTGTTCATCAACTTCGCACAACTTTTAATGATACAATTTGTGATATTTTACTCGATGCTATTAAATCAAGTGATTTATCTGTTGTGAAAATATCATCATGTGTTATTAGTAATATTGTTCTGGAATTTTCGACTTGTCGTACGGTAAATTATTTTGATCACCGTTATTCGACTTTAGATTTTGTTTTGCTTTGCTAATTCGATTTAGAGATTACTCAGCGGTGGTATACTTGAAATACTTCTCAATTTTCTTACACATACAGATCATGATTTGTGTATAAATAGTATATGGGCTTTACGGAATCTTTCATATTTATCGGTACTGCAAATAAAACAAGACATCATTAATGGTAATTAAATGAGAATGATGCAAATATACACTCTGGAAGTAAATTCTTATGAGTTTTTTTTATAAATCAGTAGTTATATCGAGAAGAACGATTAACTTTTTACAGTTCTTGTGATGATTTGCTCGTTGGAGGAAGCGAATGACAGATGAGGTACAAAGAATGTGCCTGCAGTGAACTTTCTTTTATGATGTATCATATTGAGGGGAGTTTCGCGGAATAAATGTGAAAGACATGGAAATCAGTGTAATCTCTACTACATATAGAAACATAGGAAAGTGAAATCTTCTGTTAATATAAATCAAATAGATTATATAACACAGTGCTTATAGTGTCCTTTTCTTAAAATATTCTCATTCATCATCTCTTGTCCTGCTCGGGCCATGACAACTTTGATTGGCATCGTATTAAAACGAAAAACACCTATTTCATCTTTTTTTCCTCTGCAGGTTTGACAATTGATCGTATTTATTCATTACTTGATCAATGTACAGATGAACAATTTCTTCTATGCTTGTTATCATTATTGAGAAATTTGTTCGATGAAAAAGACACTGATGCCCTTTTACCACTATTTAATGCGACAAAATTATTGACAGTAAGAGTCTAATTTCAGACTAACAACCGTTGTAATCTATTGCCTCATCTTATAGACATTACAACAATTACTTGAAAAAAATCATCCCGAAGGAATTCATCGTGAAATAACTACATTAATAGATCACCTCAATTCAAGCAATAATCCGGTAGCACACATTTTTTGAGAAAAGAATAACTGAAATACGAACAATTCTGTCTATTTCTAGTCTCAACAACGAGTGTCTTCGGAGTCGATGAATTCGACTTGTCGAACATCTCTTTTCCCTGAATGTAAATAATCATTTTGTTTTATTATTATATATTTTATTTTCGTTTATCTAGATGTTTGCGATGAAATGGATCAATTGGATTGTTCATAAAAACTGACAGACCCCAAAAATAGGCGATGTACAATCTACTCACCTATTTGTTTGAACTGAATAGCGTTTCTTTTTTTCATATTTTTTTTTCTCTTGAACAAATCAAATGATCATGTGCAAACAAACAAAAAGCAACAGATTGTGGTTTTCTTATTATTTTTGTTTTTTCAATATATATGTATGCAACAGTTTATAAATGTAATGAAAACATTAAACGGTGGTACAGAATGTATGTTGCACACTAACTGACAAGACAATAAAAAACAAGCCATGACGACTATAAGTACCAATATTGAAACATAAAACTTCTACTGAACATTAAATTTGCATAGCTTTCGTCATACATTGAACAGTCATAGCTCCTATGTGTTGAACACCGAAAAGCTTATCAGAACAATTAGGAAGCGAATAAAGTATTTTCTGGGCAAGCGTCTTGTTGAATATTTGAAAAATTCTTCGATTCGAAAGTTTTTTTTTTGATTATTCACTTGCATTGGTCTTTCTATGACTCCTTCTTATAGTTTACGCTATCCATGTATTTGGAGATGTGTGAAATTGAGTCAAACTGTTCGCATCAAACAGTCATTAACGAAGCAATATAAGCGTTCCATCTAGCTTGTAGCGAATCGTTAGTTTTGCTCCTGTTTTCTTTACTTTTTTTGTTAACCAATATTCCTAAATCAGCGTGATAGACAAAAATCGATCTCTTTCAAGTTCAACATTTGAGATACTTCGTTTTGTAGGTCAGAGATGTCATTCGTCTTGTCAGTCTCAGCACAGTTCGCTTCTACATTGAGAAAAATCTATTCACAACAAAAAAAGGATACGAAACTTCTCATAATGCGACGTTTTTCTATAGGTAACACGACATATAGCTACAATCATCAGAACCTATATCGAGTTCTTGTTACCCGAACATAATCATATGTTTTTTAATTCTACAAAATACAATACAGTTGATCTGTTATTGATTAATTGCGCTAAATTTATTAGCTAAACTACTGCACAGTAAAAAATATTAAGTGTTTCGTCTAATCCTATCGTCAGTCAACTTGTCAAACATGGATGATTAAGACAAACTGCATAAGAATGTGACAAAATGCAAAAACGTTTTTCTAAGATTTTTTGGTTAAACATTAATTTTAATGAATTTTGTGGACGGTCATTCGATGCTATTTTTATGTCCAATGTTCACGAGTCATTTTACAATCAGCACCGACCTTATTCCATGTCACAGTGCATGTTGCAGATGCACCTCCTCGCTGACATGTCGATATTTGCTTGATACTATCACCAGAAGCTATTGTATCCATTGCAATCAGTTGCAAATCTGAACATCTTAGCTTTTCGAATGCCTGCTTTAATTCATCGTAACCTTTGTAAGTGGCTTTTCCATCAACAATACTAGCACCAGGCGTATATCCAGTCGACAACAGTTCGTCGAATCCCATGTCGTCTCTTTTTTATCAACTGTGCCGCAGTTACGCGCAGAGCCAATTTTGCGTCGCAGTTACGCGTAATTATGGCGCATTGATCGTAGTGGAGATTCTATAAGAAACTACGCGTACTGTGATGAAGATCAACGTAACTGCGTCCTAGTGATCGCATCTTACGATCCCTTGTAGGTATAAATGGACAATTATAAATTATTCCTTCTTATTTGTAATTGGCTACACTCTAACAATAAAGTGCAGTCACAGAAAATCAGTATAAATAGCAGTGCTCGTCACATTTTCTTTCATAAGTCATTCTAATATAAGCAGTAGAATACATATTTTTTATTTTTTTTAAATTTTTTTAGATTTAAATCTTTTTAGTTTTTTAGCTTTTTGTAATTAAATTTTTTTTTCTTCTATTTATTAAATTTTTTATTTTGTGCAAAAATATTTTAAATTCACAATAAAAGTACAAATAAAGTGAAAATCTAATCTATGTCATCTTTTGTACCAATTGCGACGACACTGTGACCCATAATTGCGTAAAACGGGGACGCCGTTATGCGCAACTGGGATTTTTTCACCGTAACTACCCGTAATTGCGATTTTTTCATCGTAGTTACGGCGCAATTTTCCACAATTACGGGTCTCAGTGCGATTGCAGTTACGCCGTAACTACGCCGCAGTTTCATCGTAATGAAACATATGGGGACCATTACAAATCATGCATAACGGAATCAACACCGATCGTGTGATATGGCACATCTTCAGAGTTGAGACATACTAGCAGCACAAATTGAACCAGTTGATGTGGTTTTTGGCAATACATTGGAGATACTTTTTGAATTTACGCTAATAAAAAGGATCTACTTTATTTTAATAAACATATCGAGAAGTCTATAGAACATCTAATTAGCTGCTCTTCGCATCCGTCGTGAAAATAGTATCATACGTTATTCGTAAGACTATTCGTTAATATTCAACTAAAAGTGGGATTGGCATAAAAATCAATAAAATCTCTCCTAGATTTAGAAACGTAAGAGATTCAAGTCTGCTGTTTATATGAATCAAACCGAACATAATAAATTTTATAACGTAAAACTTATAATGCCCTCTTTTTAAATAATGATATCAATCATCATAAATGTCACGGTTTTGACAATATTAGCGATGTTACTATAGTAGCGAATTATTTTCTATAGATTGTAAGATTATCTATGGCATTGTGGTGCAAATAAAAATGCAACAATTTTTGAGTCCGACGAAACACGATTGGATTATAATTTGTTCAAAAATAAATATATAAAAGAAACCAATGTAAATTCGAAATCAGAAGAAATTTTCCTTTTTTAGATAGATTTTAGTAAGGATTAATTTGATATAATATTTTGATACTATATTAGCGGCATTCAAATTACGTTACGATTACGTAAACTTCGATAGAACCTGCATGAATTCAAATGTACATGGCATGATTGTTTTAAGAAAACATATCGATACACAATATAAATGAAAGTACTTTAAAGAAATCTTAGAGAACTCACTAAAGAAAAAATTGAATCAGGAATTTCTATATCGATACAGTACGGATTAAGAACTTCAACTAGTTAACTCATTGCTTCTTCAGTAGCTACACGAGTTATGCCCAACCCGTTGTATCAAAATTGAAGCACAATAATGATAGCTATTGTTTTCTTTAATCACTCTTTAATTAAGAGAAGTATAGTTACGACATAAAAGTTATCTTTGGTTTAATCAAAACTTAATTCTATTGCCTTCCCTCATTTAAACAAAAAAGAATTTTACACACATTAAAAAAAACAACGAACAGATGAATTCTTTGCTCATTTTTTTCGTTCTTGACAAACAGAGAAATAAATCTATTCAAGATAACAAAAGATAAGTATATACTGTAGAAGCCGAAGTAATTGACACAACAACACTCAATTGCTTGCAAACATGAAAAGCAAACGAAAGTTTGAAAAAATAACCATAAAACTCCTGACATACTTGAATTCCGTTCTCTGTTTCTTGTTGATAAACATATCTGGGATAGAAACAAGATATGCATCTATTTTTGAGTACCAACAGAGAAAAGATCAAACACCCACATTTAACGTCGTAAAACATCCATAAAAAAAGTAAGGTATAGGCTATATAAATCTAAACGAGGCTGATGTCTCAACAACACATTACTATTCATCATTTGTAATCCTTAGTATCAAGCAACAGCACGTACTCGACATGAGCGGACAAAAATCCAACTCAACCGCTCCAAAATCAACAGCTGGTGCTACAGTGAGTAGAACAACTACATCAGATGCCATTCGACCGAGACGTCGGATGACTCAAAATTATTTGGTCATTTGGGTCGATGGCAACATCGATGAAAACATCGAAGACTGCCGGAATACGGTGGCACGATTGCGCGCAGCAGTAAGTGAAGTGAATGTGTGCAGAACACCCGAAGGATGTATCGAGTTCCTCAATGAAATGGATGATGGCAAAGCCTTCATAATTTCATCGGGTGATTTAGGACAAAGCCTCGTAAATGACATTCATGGTATGCCAAAAGTGGATGCCATTTATATTTTTTGTGGCGACAAGGCGCGTCATGAGCAATGGGTAAACGATTGGCCAAAGATTCGAGGTGTATTCACCTCAATCAACCCTATTTGTGAATCACTCAAAAAGGTCGCCCGTGAATGCGACCATGATTCGATTCCGATGAGCTTCGTTCCGAAGCGATGCACATCAGATGCAGCATCGAACGAACAAAATCTTAACCAATTACCGCCAGCTTATATGTACTCGGTAATTTTCAAGGACATCGTATTAGAAATCGATGACGATGATGCCAAGTCTATTAAGGCTTTAGAAACTTATTGCAAAAAAAAAGAAATTCCTGACACAGAAATAAATGAACTAAAGCGTAAATACCAGCAGAAATCACCAGTATGGTGGTATACATGTGAAATGTTTCTGTATGGCATGCTTAATCGTGGATTACGATCGCTTGACATGGAGGCGATGTCGAAATTAGGCTTTTTTATTCGAAGATTACATCTTCAACTTGAACAATTGCATCAGGAACAATCGGACAAATTCAAGAAATCATTTACCGTTTACCGTGGTCAGGGAATGAGCAAAGAAGATTTTCAGAATCTACTAGATTCAAAAGGTGGTCTACTATCGTTCAATAATTTCCTATCAACAAGTATGGAACGAAAAGTGGGCATGGAATTTGTTGAACGTACTATGAAAAAGAACCAAGACATTGTTGGCGTTATTTTTATTATGACTATTGATCAAAGCAAAATATCAACTTCGAATACTCCATTCGCTATGATTGATGAACACAGTGCTATCCCATCAGAACAAGAAATACTATTTACAATGCACAGTGTTTTTCGTATCATTGAAATTAAACAAACATCTAAGAATAATCATCTTTGGGAAGTACACTTGACTATTACTGATGATAATGATCCACAACTTTCTACTCTCACCAATCGCATCAAAGAGGAGATCGACGGTCGAGGATGGCATCGAATGGGCGAATTGATGCTCAAAGTGGGTCATTTCAATCAAGCTGAAGAACTCTACAACGAATTACTCGAGAATGCTTCCACTGATAGTGATAGAACATTTATCTATCACCAGCTTGGACGGTTGAAATGCCAGCAAGGTAAATACCCAGAAGCAGCTAAATTCTACGAAAAAACACTCGAAATCGAGCGCAAAACTCTTCCAGAAGATGATGCTTCATTGGCTCCTACTTATAGTAACATCGGTCTAGTGTATGACAACATGTGTGAATACTCAAAAGCACTTGAGTTTTACGAAAAGGCAAATAAAATCTTGGAAATTTCTCTGCCTGCGAATCATCCCAATTTGGCCAGCTCCTACAACAACATCGGTAGTGTGTATGACAACATGGGCGAATACTCGAAAGCACTTGAATTTTACGAAAAATCACTCAAAATAAAAGAACTATCTCTGCCTCCGAATCATCCCTCTTTGGCTACTTCCTACAATAACATCGCTACGACGTATTACGCAATGGGTGATTATCCGATAGCACTTGAATATTACGAAAAATCACTCAAAGTAAGGGAAAAGTCTCTGCCTGCGAATCATCCCGATTTGGCTACTTCCTATAACAACATCGGTCTAGTGTATGACAACATGGGTGAATACTCGGAAGCACTTGAGTTTTACAAAAAAGCAAATAAAATCTTGGAAATATCTCTGCCTGCGAATCATCCCAATTTGGCCAGTTCCTACAACAACATCGCTAAGGAGTATAACAACATGGGTGAATACTCGAAAGCACTTCAAATTATAGAAAAAGCACTAG